TTCATGTACACATATATAATTGCAAATTAAATTGCGATAAATGTACAAATATAAAAAATATGCTAAGAAGCTCTTGGCATTGCCAGAACAAAATATATATACACAAGTATTTGTACATATATATATATATATATAAATTCTGTAACCTTTGCACATGTTTATTTACGTAAGATCATCAAAAAAAAAACTTTTTAACAAAAATCCTTATAATAATAAAAAGCTCCAAAAAAAAAAACAAAAAATAAAATATAATTATCCTTTATAGTTTTAAACTCGTGATTTCTTATTTTACTTACATTCAAACATACACACGCTAACACACACAAATATATATAATATATACCGGCATAATTTTAAAAATCTTAAAATATATGTTAAATGTTAAAATACAATAAAATATAAAAGAAGGCAATGTAAAAAATTTTTATTTTTTTACGTATATTTTTTATTGTTACATAGTTTCATTTATTTTAAAAACATATGTACAATATATATATATATATATACACCACTTATATTTTAGATTTTTCATTAAGTAGAACTGGTAGAATTTCCTAAATATTATACTTACATATTATTATTTTACTAGCCGACTTGCAACCATCCTTAATATTGAACTTGAGAAAGAAAACGAAAAAAAAAATTCGCATTTAACAATAACCATACACCATAATATGAATGTGGTATGGAATGGATGGAACGAACACAAATACACAAAACATGAAAAAAAACAATTGTATAAAAAGAAATTCTTAGCTACATATTATGTTTTTTAATTTTTTTAAAAAAAGAAGGGTATTTTTCGGAGCTTTTAAATTGTATAATTGTGGTTACTTATATTTTTTCCATTATAATTTTACTTATTTTTTTTTATTACTTTATTTTTTTTTTATTTTGTATGTATTTTTCTGGTTTTTTTTTAAGAATTCATAGGCATTACAGTATAGTTGCACGTTCTATATAACATGCATTTAAATATATACACATATTTTCTTTGACAGCCCCTAAATACAAAAGATTTTATGCTTTTTTAATTAATTTAATAAAATTTAATATTTAGATTTTAATGAGTTTCTTTTCTCTTTTCAGGATTATTGCAATTTACATATTTATTTTATATATACATATATGAATACACATTCTTTAATGTTTTAAGTTCAATGATATAATGTACATATATATGCGATACGTGTAAACAAATTTAAGAATAAAAAAAACTTTAAATAAAGGGATAAAAATTTAAACTATACAGAATTATTTTATATTATTTATAAAGGGGAGAATATTTGTTAAATGCACATATAAGTTTATATATTCATTGCAATTAATGATATTTTGATAATCACAGGTCTCGGACATTATTTTTACTAATATACGGTATACCATTTTTATTAAAATGCAGTATATTTCATAATGAAGAAATCAGGAGCACAATTAAATTCGTTTTTTAATAAATTAAAAATTTTCAGGACCACATTATGAAGTATTGTATATGTGCAACAAATTTTTTCATCATATAGCATAGATATATATATATATATATATACGTATATATCATGTTTATTTAAAAGTTTTCAATAAATTTCCTATTGTTACGCTCTCCTCATTTTTTCAATGTCTCAGCCCTGTAATATATATATATATATATATATATTATATATATCATATATATATATAACATGAATAGCATAATATATAGTAATGATATGGTGCATTATAAAGTGTTGTGCTGTATTTTCATTGAATATATGCACATATTTGAATATGATATATATAGAAATATATTTGTATTCATTTGTATTTGAATTATCTTTTTTACAAATTATGCATAAAGTTTCTTATATATTTATATTTTAAGGACATTCTTTTCATTGAATGAAAACAAAATAATTATATATATATATAACAACACAAAATATACGAACGTACATATATAATACATTTGTATATATATTTATAAAGGATACAATAAATAAAAAAATGATGATGATATCAACATAAAATGTGTGTATAAAAAACATTATAATATATATATATATATATATATATATATATATATATGTGCATGTTTATAAAAGAAATAGAAAATGAAGGTTAAATAATATTCGTTTGTGCATATTAAATAAAAACTTTAAATTTTTTATAAAAGTTCTTTCACAAAATATATTATATACGTGATAATTGCATTCATACACCTACATATATACATATATATATATTATATATATATACAATTTATATGTATAATGTTAATAAATAATAAAAATTTAAAAATAATGGTATAAAATATACATTACAATATATAAGAACAATGATTTTTCTTAAATATTTTATTTAAAAGAGAAAAGGATGTTTCGATCATGAATTTGCTTTATATTTTTTTAAATAAAAATTTTGTTATAATTGTATTATAACTATTAAAATTAATGGAATATACTATAGTGCTGCATATCAAGACATTAGTGAATATATTAAGAGTTTTTCATGAAATGATCCTAATAGCTATCTTTTACTGTCGGAAATACTTTAAAAACTTTCTTATATACCATACGTATGCGTCGATGATCTTTTAAGAACTAATGGTTTTTCAAATAACACCAGGTACTTTTTAAATAAAGCAATTTAAAATTGAAAAAATGTTATATATTTTTTTCAAATTTGGATTTGGAAATATTTATGTATTGTTCTAATATGTTCTATTATATCCTTAAATATGTACATCTTTTAAAACATGCAAAACACAGGGAAATTTCTTTAGTATTACTATTGCATACTTATAGCAATAATAGACAGAACTGTATTATGTAGAAATATTAGAAATATTAAGTCAACGAATTTTGATGAAAACTTTGTCCAAATTTTATATTCGTTTTTTTTTTAATTAAATGTTAATATAATATTTGAAATAAAATATATACAATACACGTAATATATAAGAATAAAAATATAAAATGAAAATATAATATTTAATATGTATATGTTAATATGTATATAATATGCAATTTATATATATACTTAATGTATATGTATAAATTGAAAAAATATTTATTCATATGAAAAAATATTTCGCGATAAATTTAATTTTTTAGTAATTTAGTAGTGTATAATACGAGTATATACTGTATATTATACACTACTGTATTTAGTAGTGTATAATATATACTGTATATTACATAAATATTATATGTAATTATATCCTTATAAAAATACTCATCTTCTTCTTCTAAAGGCATAAATTTATTATAAACACTTACCATACAATCAATGGCATTAACCTACTTAAAATACATATTTAAAAATGTTATACAAAAATATATTATATATGCACGGATATTTTAAGTGTATATAAGTAAAATGAATTATGCATAGAATATTATTTAAAATTTAATTAATATACTCAAATTTTAATTAAAAATAAAAATTTGTAAATTATTAATATTTTATTTTTAATTTATTTAAGATAAATAAGACTCATCAATAGACTTTTTTTAAAATAAAAATTATTTACGTAAATACAAGTATGTGTTATGATTGAATATACATCATATGTATGTAATAAGATATATACTAAATAATAAAGATAAAGCTATACTTGTAAATAATAAGATATATACTTTTTAAGAAAGTTCGCATTATGCAGCACTAGAGTTCAGTACTAAAATACAAAGTAGACACATTAATATGTATATATACATTTTAATTATATATTATAACATAATACATACATAATATCATAAAAGGTTATTTATACATAAAAATTACAATGCATTTATAAGCATATCCAATATTTTAATTACATACATACAAACATACCACACATTTTAAAATTCTCATCTTCCTCTTTAGCTAAACCAAAGCGAAAAAGAAAACGAAAGACAACAAAAAAATATTCTGTTCTTAAAGCCTATAGCAGAAATAAATTATTATAATATACATAGATACTTATGGATATATACATATGATTTATATACGGTGCACATACCTAGTAAGACATTTTACGTCACAATGACGTTAATAAAATTTGATTTGTAGGGAAAATCTCAGAATTTAATCAACAAAGAAAAAAAAACTAATTTTATTTTTCAACTTTCCTTACTACAAAATTGAAAACAAAAAAAATGTAATATGAAAAGTGACGAATAAAGAAAAGTGATTGCTCTTCAAATTTTTTAAAATATAATAATTTTATAAAAAGGATTATTATACGACTGACATTGTCGGTTTAGTATAGATAAATTTATATTATATTATAACATAAATATACATACATACATACTCGTAATACAATTTATATTCGTTTTAAAATCAATCCGACAAAATTTTATTTAATTGGATAGTCTAATCATATTCTATAGCTCTAGTATTCAAATAGTGCAAAATATAAAACTATTAAACGTATATAACGTATATGTACGTATAGTGCATTAAAAACAAGTGAATATTGTGAGATCGTCACATCAAATTTTGTACTGCTTACTCATCGCATAAATTGTTTTAGCACCGTTTTGATTGTTTATAACATCAAAAAAAAAAAAAGATGGAAATAATTCTAAAATTCCAATAATTCAGACTTATAACTGGAAATTCGAATCCAAAAATATCACAACGCGATTTCGGGATTTTAGTTATCGAAAAAATATTGCGAACCATTTTTCCTTTTACCTTTCCGCTATTTAAAAATAGGTACCGTTTATATGTAAGAGAGAATTTAAGATTTCGTATATGTATAACTATGTAAACAGTTTATGACATCAGACTTTGTGTAATGGCAAATAATAAATTACTGTATTCTCTTCAAATTTACTTTCTAATTTTTTAAAAAATAAATGGTAAAGTAAGTAATAACAAAAAAGCTTTGTTTTATAAAAAATACAAAAATTGCAGATTTAATAATTAGTCTGGCACTACTTTACTTATTATGTCATTTTAATAATCAATGAAATGTCATTAAAGTGACATTTCGATTCTTATTAAAAAGTTTTTAAACTTCGAAATTCAGATTGAGGAATAAAAATGTCATTTTGAGCAAAATAAAATCAAATTTATTTTATTCAATTAATTATCATTTAGAAAAAATCAATAAATAATAATAGGATATTAATAGTAGTAAAACATTACAATTCTAGATAAAATGAAGAGTGCTCTTATGGTAGCAGAAAAGCCCTCGTTGGCTGCATCATTAGCCAACATTTTAAGTAATGGACGGTGTACATCCCGAAAAGGTAATTTAATCATTAAAATAAAAACTTTCAAATTTAATAAAAATGAAAAAAGTGCAAAATTTACAATTATTAAAAAAATTGATATAAATAGCATTTTTAAACATTTACCGCTATGCTAATGCATAAACTATAATATTTATTAGGTTAGGTTCTTTAAAGGTTAAAAATTGCTTTAATTTTTATATTGAATTAAAATTTACATAACTTATAGAAGAAATATTTAATTGAAGGGCTTAATGGAGCTTGTAGTGTTCATGAATGGGATGGCCCATTTCGTGGAGAAACAATACGTTTTAAAATGACTTCAGTGTGTGGTCATGTAATGGCTTTAGATTTTGTCGGGAAATACAATTGTTGGGACAAAGTTGATCCAGTTGAACTATTTTGTTGTCCAACAGAGAAAAAAGAAGCTAATGCAAAATTAAAGATGCCATTCTTTTTAGTAAAAGAGGCTAAAGGTTGCGATTACTTAATATTGTGGCTTGATTGCGATAAAGAGGGTATAACGTACCAAACTCTTTTCTGTTATATTAAATAAATTTTCGTTTTGGTTTTTAGGCGAAAATATATGCTTTGAGGTAATGAATGCTGTTTCTACCTCAATACGAAATGTGAACAGTACTAGTGTTTGCTACAGAGCCCGTTTTTCAGCAATTACTGAAAAGGATATCAAAAATGCAATGGCAAATCTAGCTCACCCCAATGAAAATGAAGCAAAATCAGTTGATGCGAGACAAGAACTAGATTTAAGAATTGGATGCGCATTTACAAGATTTCAAACGAAATTTTTCCAAGGTCGATATGGTGATTTAGATTCTTCACTTATTTCATATGGACCATGTCAAACGCCGACATTGGGTAAATTTTTAAAAATTTAATCTAAGTTTCAGGTTTAAATTAATATTTTTGTAGGATTTTGCGTGAAACGTCATGATGATATACAAACGTTTAAACCTGAAAGTTTTTGGTATTTACAATTGCACGCTGGTTCCCCTGAGGTAATTTTTGATTGGGCTCGAGTCAGAGTTTTTAAAAAGGAAATAGCCATTATGCTATTAAATAAAGCAAAAGAAAACAAGGAAGCAAAGTAATTTATTCTAATCCCTTTAAAGGCTTTAAATAAATTAATGAATAATTTGATTTCAGGGTTGAGAGTGTTGTTTCAAAAGATCAGTACAAGGGAAGACCTTTAGCTTTAAACACAGTTGAATTGATGAGGGCGGCCAGTGCAAGATTGGGATTAGGTCCTCATCAAGCAATGCAAATTGCCGAAAAGTAAAGCCGCTTGTGCTGCAAAAAGATACTTTTTTATTAATAAAAAATTAATTTTTAGATTGTATACACAAGGTTTTATTAGTTATCCGCGTACTGAAACTACGCAGTACCCCACCAATTTCGATCTTAAGTAAGTAATTTAAAACAATATTTGAAAAGCTTAGAGTATTGAAACTTTAATTTGCAGTGGAGTCGTTAAATTATTGCAAAACTCATCAGAATTTGGACAGGAAGCACGTAGTATTGCTGCTGAAATGAATCAACCAAGAAAAGGTAATCGAAATAATAAAAAAGTTGTTGAAAATATAACATATTTTTTTTTTATAGGTGTGGATCATGGAGACCATCCTCCAATAACTCCAATGAAATGCGGGAACAAAGGTGATTTTGAAAGTGATGCGTGGCGCATATATGATTATATATGCAGACATTTCTTGGCAACCGTTTCTCAAGACTTGAAATTTCGTGTAACTACTGTGAAAATTAAAGTCGGCATGGAAACTTTTACTACCTCATCGAATGTCTTGATAGATCCAGGCTTTTCAAAAGTATTTACTTGGCAAGCTTTCGGGAAAAATGAGGCTCCACCACCATTTGTTGAGGGGCAAACGGTTCCAGTTAATGATATTAAATTAGTTGAAAGCCAAACTGGTCCGCCAGATTATCTCACAGAATCAGAGCTTATAACTTTAATGGAACAACATGGCATAGGAACTGATGCATCAATTCCTGTACATATAAACAACATTTGCCAAAGAAACTACGTAACTATACAACCTGGACGTAAATTAATGCCTACCACTTTGGGGATTGTATTGGTACATGGGTATCAAAAAGTAAGTTCACATATGAAGTTTTTTAACAACATAAACAATTTTTTGTCTTTTTTTTTTTTAAGATTGATCCAGAGCTAGTTCTACCTACCATGAGATCAGAAGTGGAAAAATTATTGAATTTGATAGCTAAAGGCACTGCAGATTTTAAACATGTTCTTCGACATGCCGTTGAAATTTTTAGATTAAAATTTTTGTACTTTGTTCAAAACATATCTAATATGGATAGCTTATTTGAGGTTTCATTTTCTCCACTAGCTGAATCTGGTAAAGCTCACTCAAGATGTGGTAAATGTCGGCGCTACATGAAATATATACAAGTAATTAAGAAAACAATTTATAGTTATTGAAATTTATTGAAAAGAACTTCAATAATATAATTTTTTTTAATAGACAAAGCCAGCTCGATTACATTGCTCCCATTGCGATGAAACGTACTCTTTACCGAATGGAAATGTACGTGTTTACCGTGAGCTTAAGTGTCCTTTAGATGATTTTGAGCTGTTGGCATTCTCAAGCGGAACAAAAGGACGATCATATCCTTTGTGCCCATACTGTTACAATCATCCACCATTTAGAGATATGCCAAGAAATTCAGGTTGCAATTCGTGTACTCATCCAACTTGTCAACATTCTCTTAATTCCCTTGGAATCTCAAGCTGCGTTGAATGTGAAAATGGTATATTGGTACTTGATTGTACATCATCACCAAGCAGCTGGAAATTGGGTTGTAATCGTTGCGATGTAATTATAAATATATTTAAAGGTGCCACAAAAATTACCGTCGATGGTAAGAAAAAAAAAAATTTTACAAAAGAAAAATTAAATCTAATTTAATAAAAAAATCCAAAAATTTAAGATAAACGTTGTGATTGTGGAGCTCAATTGGTGAACGTATTGTACAAATCTGAAAAATCTAAATTTAAAGATAATGCTGAAGAGAAAACTGGTTGCATATTTTGTTCACAAGAATTCTCTCATCTTGTTGAAAAGCATCGTGCCATTACTGCAAGACCAGCTCAAGTCAATTCACGTGGTAGCAGAGGTGGTGGCGGTCGTGGCGGTAAAAGCCGAAGTACAAGAGGTGGAAGACCAAAACAAGATAAAATGGCTCATCTTGCAGCTTATTTTGTTTGATTGTAAAAAAAAATGAAAAAAAAAATTATACATACGTATTATTTTGCTAATTTCCCTTTTGCAGCATTTATTCATAACATAATAATAAATTGTTTTATTTGTTTATTTATACATAAAAGAAGACAAAAAGAAAAAATTTAATTTTTAATCGTTTAACAATTTGATAATAAAGTATTTGTATGATTTACAATATTGATGAAGAAATTAATTTTTTTTGTTTTATTGGACAATTTATAAATATTTTTATTGTAATTATAAGCAATCATGAAATGAATGCCAATTTTGGTCTTAATTTTTCTGACCTTGAATTTTGAGTGTTCGTTTTTCTATTTCGTGTATCTGCCACGCAAATGGTTAACCACACAAATACTTATTTATTCAGGTGACAAAAAATTTTTCTTTTTCTTTCACATTCATATATGAAAATTTTCGATTATGTGGTTTCTCTTATATTAAAAATTTAAAACCAAATCAAATTCTAAAATTTTTTTAATTTAAATTAGTAAAAACCCTAGCACAAACTAATTTTTAGTATCTAAAACGATTTTATCGTCATAAAGTTTTCATAATTTTAAAATTTCTACTGTTTGTTTTATATTAACTTTTTATCCTGCAGTTTTCCAACTTCTTAAATATGACTTATGATTTTCTTCATAAATTAATCAACATTAATAAATTATCATTCTTGCCTAATTTCAATTTCGGAAATATTTCCTTATGCGTTCAAGAATACTATATTGGAAAAGGTTTGTGACTTTGATTACTTATTCAATTATTATAACATACATTGATGTTTTGAAAAAATTCATTTCTCCACAATTCATTCGATTCATTCCAAAAAATTCCACATTTCATTTAATTCCAAAATTTTTCACATTTCAAGACAAATCGATCAAAACAAATAATTTGATAAATTGCAATTAGAAATGTTATTTTAAATGTTATCCTTTAATTTTGAAAAAAGGCCGACTAAAACTTAATACAATATAAATTCTTAGCTTTTATTTAGTATAAGATTCATTTTCATTTTGAAAGCTATTTAATCGAAATCTTGAATATATAAGATCCACATTATTTTTACGACCCTGAATGTCTACAGTTGACAGTAGATGTCACTTTGACATTTAATTTGTTATTAAAAAATTAATGAAAACACGATTACACGTATTTTATATTTTCATTTTGTTAAATAAATACAAAAGAAAAAACTATAAAAAATAAATTTGTTTTTCTTATAGAGATAAGATAATAAGAAAAACGAGAATGGATAACAACGGTGATGATTTATTAAGTTTTAAGGAATTTCCACCTGTACATGGGCAAACGAGGTAACACTAATTTTTACATCCTACTTGCACATTTCTTAATATGAAAAAAAACCGTGAATATTAATAAGAATTTTTATTTAGTGCACCAAGAGCTCAAATTAGCATTAATTCACCTACTAGATCAACATTTGGTAATAAAGATCCTTTAGATGAATTAATTGATGATATGTCAAGAAGTGTTCAGACTATGAACAACGATAATTATTCAAATTCTGGCATTCCACCGCTACCAATCGATGATGATGATCCAACATTAAGCGGTCAAACACGAATCCCTAAACCATCACCAATTACTATAGAATTTTACCAAAAATATTTTAATGTCGATACAGCAATGGTAATTGAACGAATAGTAAATTCAATTGTACCAAGAAAAGCCCCACCCGGTAAATTTTTTCAATTTTTCACCAATTGTATTTTTTGAATAAAGCTCTAAATTCCATTTATTTTTTAGATTATTTAAAAACTTATATCGGCAAAAATCCAGATTTATACGGACCATTTTGGATATCAGCAACATTGGTAAAAATCATTCAATAAAATTTTTAATTGAAAAACTTCAGTTTAAAATAAATTTGTAATATTATTTTAGATTTTTTCTATAGCTATTACTGGTAATATAGCTGATTATTTGCAAAGAGCTGATTTAAATTATGAATGGAAATATAATTTTCATTTAGTTTCATATGCAGCTACAGGTATAATATTGATATTACATAATAAATAGTCACTTATTACTTCAAAAAATTCTATATTTAATATAACACTATATTTTAGCTATATATATTTATGCATGTTTTGTTCCAATTTCATTATGGGCAATCTTTAAATGGACTTTAAAACCCAATGAGGATAATTTAGACACTGATTCGGTAAGCTTTATTATAAAAACTTTCATTGCCATAGTTTTATTATTTTTATATCTTTTTACTTTTTATGATAGGCGACTTATACACCCAGTTTAATGTCATTGATGTGTGTTTATGGATATTCTCTTGCCGTATTTATTCCAGTCTCAATTTTATGGGTCATACAAGTAAATATCTTTTATGAAGGAATTAAATTTTTTTTTTGTAATAATTTTTATACTTTTTTTTTTAGTATTCTATTCTTCAGTGGAGTTTGGTTTTGAGTGCAGCATTAATATCTGGACTTGTATTAATATTAGTTCTAACGCCTGCAATAAGAAACTCAAAAATTTCTATGTTTTTAATTGTTGGAATAATTTTAGCACATTTCTTATTGGCAGCCGGCTTCATGTTATATTTCTTTCACGTACCAAATTCAACAGCAAAAATAATTCAACCTGTTACAGAAAAATTAATTCAACCAGTAACAAGTGTTATTAATATTGTGCAAAAAAATAATAATAGTACATCTTAGAATTTCTAATAAATTAATTTTTTTTTGGCTTGTTGCTGAAATTTTTTAAAGTATTTGGTATAGCTTTTACATATTATACATTAATAATGTGTCTATAAAAATAATTATATGAATAAAATAAAAAAAAAATGTATTTCATTTCTTCACTAACATATTATGAAAATTTAGTAAATTTGTAGGAAAACAATGCCGAAATATAATCAAAAACAAATACTTAATTTAAGCTTAACTTAATAAAGTCAATTATTTAAATAAAAAAAAATACCTAAAAATTTCTATCAAATTTTTTTATGTTCGTTGTTTAATTATTCCATTACTTCTTATATACTATGTAAATACATAATTGTATTTACATGGTATATTGGTATCTTATAGAAATTTCTTAATTACATACTGTGCATTTTTAATATGTCACAGTTTACATCCCCTTAAAAAAATCTTTATTCTTCTCCTGGTCAACCATATTTTTTTGAATTAGAAGAATGGCAATTCTTAATTTTTTGCAATATTGATCCATTTCATACTATCAATACTAATTATTATGTGAGATTATCATGTCTATATGTATATTATTGACCGCGACTATTATTGTTGTTTGAAACTATTATTATTGTCTAAGACTGTTATTATTGACCGCGACTATTATTGTTGTTTGAAACTATTATTATTGTCTAAGACTGTTATTATTGACCGCGACTATTATTGTTGTTTGAAACTATTATTATTGTCCGAGACTATTATCATTGTCTGAGACTATTATTATTGTCCGAGACTATTATTATCGTCCGAGACAATTATTATTGTCCGAGACTATGATAACAACACTACTACAACCTGGCTTGTATCGTCAAAAAAAATTTGAACTGTTTCAAATAAAAGCTAAATAAAAGAGTGTCTGCAAATACCACAAAGATATTTAAAATTTGAATATGAATGAAACATTGCAATGCAATTTATTAAATTTTATCTACAATAATCATTATCTAAAATAATTTTAATCATATTGCAATTAATAAATATCATACTCTAACCAAAAGTATTATTCAATTTCAAAATAAAATTAAATATACTTACAAATAACTACTTCCATTTTCCATTCTTTTGTTACCTCAACATTTTTTTGTAATAAAAAAAAAAAAATAAGAATAAGAAATGTTAATATGAAAATTTATTTGAAAGCAACAATAAAAGATTATTTTCTATTTTGCATTTTTCTTTCATAAAATTACTTACATATTCAAATTTTTTTTTATATTTTTCTTTTAAATAAAATTTAAAAGAAAAAATTCACTTTCTGAATTTTCTTTCCTCCTGTTAAAATATCTAATTTACATAATCATCTACATCGCATCAACCAACCAAACAAACCAAACAGAACCAAACCAACAAACAAATCAACCAACCCCAAAAAAAAATTTAAATAAAACAGAAAGGCAAAAGAATTTTTCCATCTTTTTCCATCTTTTTTTTTTTTTTTTTGTTTTGTACATTTTTTAACTGATTATTATCAGCCAGTTCACTTATTCCAGAGTTGGTTCCTTTCAATTCACTTTTTTGGTATAGGTTGTTTTTAACTTATTCTTTTTTTATATTTAGATGTTTAATGTTGGCGTGTATATGTATGTATGTATTTAATAAGTTGGGTAATAATTTTTAAGTATCGTGCTGTTCTTTGTTTCTTTATATTGAATTTTTTTTTTTTTCATATTTTTAACCAAAATTTTTAGTGTTCAGTTGTAAAAATTATTTTTTGTTTTTCCATTCTCGTTCTTATACTTTTTTTAATATTATTTTGTTTTCTTATTTAAATACTTTAAATTTTTAATATTTTTCTTTTAATATTTTAAGGATAATGCGTTGTTATAAAGAAAAATGAAGCACAAACGTTTGAATGTAAATACTTTTATTTAAATGGGATTAAAGTGTTTAAAAAAGAAAATGAAAATAACAAAAGTAAAAATTTTAAATGAAAAAGAAAATTATATGAAGGAGAAAATTGTATGTATGTGGGTTTGTATAATCTGTCTAAAAGCCCTAATTAAACGCTTGAAAATGAGATGGGTAAACTTCAAAATGAAAAAACAAAATCTACAGGTACGCTGTAATTTTCTTTTAGTAAATAAAGGTATTGCAGTATACATTACGTAGTGTAATGTATTTCGTAATAACTACGAATTTATACGTAGAGGCATGTAGGCACATATGTATGTCAATATGTGTTCATGTTCGCTAAAGTAATTTTAATAGTATTTAATCGACTGAACCTATGCTTACATACGAATTCATAAATTATAGAATTACAGCAGCACTTACTGGATACTACAAATACAACAAAATTAGAAATAAAGAAATTTTTTGGGAATTATGACAACGCGTTAATTATTTACGTTTTTAATAGCGTAAATACGCCTAAATAATTTTAAAATTTGTATGTTTGCATGTAAGTGAAATTCATTATTCTTTTCTGACAAAAAATTATTATAGAAATTGCACATTGTATGGGGTGTTGTATTGATTTCTTCAGAAACAACGAAAATTTATATTAATTAATTGCTTCAAGTTGATCGTTCCATACTAGATTGAGGACGATTTTGTATTACTTGTCTTGTTCCTTGTTCTTCCATACCATATTGTGAACTATATGCCTTGGTGGTAAATAAAATTATTTTTTGTAATTTGAATATTTTGACATTTTATATTAAGATGTATATGTGTGTATACATATAGATTCACTTATATACGTTATTATATGAAAGGGCTACAATAAATTTTGAATTAAAATTTTTTATCACGTACATGCAAAATGCATAATTTATGTAAGTATGAAATGGAAGTACAAAATTTAAATTTTCACTTTTTTCTTACAATTTTGAATTCTAAATTTCAATATGAATAAATTAGAAAGGAAAAATTGAAAAAGAAATTCTGTACTGTCTGGAAGATATAAAATTTTTATCTCAAAGAAAAGGAATAACGCCAAAAACCACTCTTTCTAATTTTTTCCTAGAAAACTTTGAAAGAATACAAAATTGCATATTGTTAATTTTTAAAAATTTAAGTCTTGCATTTTTTCTCCAATTTATATTGCATTCTCGTTTTCCTCGTTTACTCTTTAAGGGTACCCAATATTCTTACTGGTATTGCATTTTATTTTTTCATTTTTACACGCTTATTTTAAATTCTGGTCGCAGCTTTTCTGTTAAACTTGTAATTTCGAATACTTTATTGATTTTAATAATCATTATTGTTTATTATTCAAGAAAAATCTAAGTTTTAAGAACAGAAGTGCTTTTTTTTCAAATATTTTTTTTTGTTATAAATTTTTTATAACAAAAGCATTTTTTCTCTTTCATTTTTTCTTTTCAATTTTTGTTTAGAATTTTTTTTTTTTTTGTAAAAAGTTAAAATTTTATATTTTTAACATTTACACGTGGGAATTCAATTGATCATTGTACCAAACGTTGTAATGATTTTATTATACAATATGCTATCTATTCCATATATACCTATTCCGTATAGGTATATCATGTAAGAACCCCTGTAGAGTTTTACATCTATATGGGAACGTATCAATTGTTAGGATTTTATTATTTTTTATAGTCTCATATAAATAAAATCGAAAAAAATAATTTCGAATCGATTTTTATATTGGTAAGGTAAAAAGAAATAAGAAGAGGATTGTGTCCAGGAAAATAATAATTGTACCTAGAGTGGACTGGAATTAGAATGATGAGAAATTCGATTATTATTTGAGAAATACTTAATCAAGAATAATCTTCAATACGAATCAAAATAATAAGGATTCCTTTTAAAATTTTATTTATAATTGCTTATAATTCGATAATGGAATTTCCAACTTAATATAGATGTTATTTTATATCGCAATATGTTTACTCACAGAACAAACTATCAGAATGAAAGAATTATGTACGATTGATAGATCTTTGCCCGGCCCAAAAATCTCTAATATGCGCTTAATCATATCAGAATTTTCCTTTTACACTTAGCTATAGAAACGAAGCTTTAAAAAAGTCACTTTTTTGTTGCTACTGGAAGAACTTTTACTTTTACATTTGAGTACAAACGTATCAGGCTATGTAAGAAATAAATTATTTTAAAAAAACCAGATTTTTATTTAAAAATAACCCGTTTTCATGATTGTACCTCAAATATACATATATATTTTTAAAGGTAAACTACCAGAACTATCAGAATAATCTTATACCCACTCATCTAACTTGTAAATGAAATATGGTCTTAACAACGCTCATCTTCTTAAAATCAGTTTATTTACCATGAACGATTATTAGAATTAAAATGCAAATTTTTTACTCTACTCACCAAAAAAAAAAGAGTTGGAAAACTTTTACAAACCTTATGTTTTTTATTTTTATATTTCATGTACTCTATGGCATATTTCTATATGTGTGTATAAAATAAATTTAATACAATAGTATCGAAAATATATTTTAAGGGTCAAATGCATATTTTACATTTTATTAACAAAATTGGGCAAAAAAAAATATTTATTTAAGAAATATTAAATACAGAGGGAGAGAAAAGCACGTTAACCTGCGAAAAAAAGTGGAAAAAAAAATTTATAAAAAATTTACGTACAAAATATTAGGGATTTAAAAAAAAAATTTTTTTATAGGTAAAATTCATTGTAAAATGTTGAAAATTTCATGCTTTAGTTTCCTGTTGATAATTTTCTTTTGAAAAGAATAGAAATTTTTAATTCTATTTAGGTTTACAAAAAATTTTAATTACTTGAATGCTAGTATGTGTACACTGTATGGGGAAGACGGGATGGTATTTGACGATTCGATATTTTATTATGAAAAATTATATTGTAATTATTTGACGAGATGTAATATTCTGTGGAGGAGTTTAACGAGTCCTGCAAATAAAACAGCGGCCGAAATATTAAAATTAATTCGCTTTACTATTAATTTAAAAAATCATTAAAAATTACTTATATAATCATTACCTACATGGAAGCTATTACTGTTGAGACAATAATACCATTATATAATTTAGAAAAAATATATACAAAATGAGAAACTCTTTCTCTATTCTCATTAATTTAAAAATAAATTTTATACTATATGAACAAAATTAATAAAGCTGCATGCCT